TAATCTATATTATTAATTTATCTATATTTATATAATAACAACAACAGTGTCACAATTTGTGTTAAATAAGTAATGTGTGCGTGATGGTGATTACGGTAAATTTATTTCTATAAAATAAAGAACTCAAGACACATAACGATTTTTCAAAAAAAAAAAATCGAAAAATAAAAAAATATGAATTTTTTGCCTGAAGAAATAAAAGAAAATATTTTCATATTCGCTCCTAGGCCTCTTTCCCTAATTTTACTCAATAAAAAATGGTACGGAATGTCAAGAAAATCAAAAATTCGTGCCAGATGGGTGATACAAAATTACGGAAAAGCAAATTCCCTATTCCATGCAATCCGATTTGGAGAAAATTTTATCTCGATGGAATTGGTCGTTTTTCTAATCACAAAAGAAAAAGTGATTTTATCTAGATATTTTGCACAAAGGTTGCATTTACAGTTTGGGAAAACAGATAACATGCTCCAAGCTACACGAAATTATTTTAGAAATCCATGGGCTTCAAGTATTCCATTGGCCATATATATCCATTTGTTAAAAGAGGCTAAGGAACAATATGGCCCAGATCTTCCATTAAAAGGGAATGATATTGAATTATTTGATCACTTAACAGGTGGACCATCAGCTATAAATTTGGCACCAGGAGAATTAAAAGAAAACCTTGCAAAAATTAAAGATCTTATACTTAATAAAAAATTTGTACCTTTCCCTCCAAGACCATTTGAAATGCAGATCCTAAACTGTGAAGAATATCCAGCCAAAGATGGTTTTGAAAATAACAAACAATTAAATATAATTGCCAGGGCAATATTAATTTATCCAGAAATTATGGAATTATGGAAACAAATTGGTTATCCTGATATATGTATAGATGTCAATGATTTGGTATTACAAGGTTCTTTGATAATTCTATATGATCCAAATTCAAAAAATGAAGATTGTCTTCCTCCAACTATGAATGATTTTGTTGAATGTATACAACAACTTATCAAGATTGGATTCAAATTGACAAAATCTGTTATGGCAGATATTTTATTTTTGTATGAACAACATCTTACCAAAATCGGAGAAACACTTATAGAAGCATTCCATATAGTAAGGAGTCAACCAAAAATTGAAATTATTGGACGTTGCATTGTGGAAGCTATTAAAGTCAACAGAAATTCAAAAAATCATCAAGTTTTAGATTTTCTTAAGGTGCAAATCGAAGAAAATGATTTAGAACCTGTTTATCTTAGAGCTCTAGTTTACCATTATTTTGATGATACTACTAGGAACAAAATCGAATTTCAAAATTTTAAGTCAAGTAGCTTTTATACTCACATCAATGACAAAAATTTCAAACATTTCAACAAAAAAATTATTGAAGAACCTATTAATCATTACTATGCTTATGGCCACAAATCTTATCCACATGATATAAGAACATTGAAATTGAGTGGCAATTTGTACAAGTGGGTAATAAAAAACTTCAAACCTGATTCAATTGTCACAAGATTATGTTTCAATGATATAATTATATCCAAGATATGGATTGATAAAGAATTGTCACTTCATCCTGAAAGACAGATACCAGAAAACATGACCAGTTGTGAATTTGAACTGATAATATTTGTTTATAATGAATTTTGTAAGAATAATGTTCCATTTGAATTGGCACATTTGAACTTATTAAAAGAGTCAAATAATTCTATAACTTTGGCACCATTTTTTGAAGGTTTCTTACCACAAATTTTTAATATTAACCCAACATTTGATTATCACAATGACAATAATATTATCAAAGAAAAAGGATTAAAAATTGAAGAAACAACAAAATTCTGGTTTATTGAATTGAAGGAGATTTATGATCAAATTAACACACAATTTAATGTCACCACCACACATAATCAGTTTACTACAAATTTCAAAATTCATATGAAAGAGTTTTGGGACAGAATTGTGTTGGAAACTGGATTACATTAGTTGAATCTAAAAAAAGAAAAGGTGCGATTGAAAGTTTGGCAAGGACAAGGGAAATTGAATTGTGAATTATTTTTCTATATTATTATTATATTTTTTATCATTATTATTATTTTCATCATGATGACAATATTTATTTAACATCCTTGTATTTATTTAACATGTTCATATGATTTTTAAGATAACACACATTTATATTTATACATGCCATATGATTTTTAAAATAAGATACACATACACAATGAATCTCGATTTAGTGGATAGTTTGGGCAATTAGGGAAAATTTTCCAAAAATCTGTTAAACCAAGATATCCACTATATCAAGAAGGTTTTTATTAAGGTTTATTATGGAATTGTTCTTTGAACTTTATCCGTAAAACTGAGACTTTTAATTAGTATCCACTAAATTGAGATTCACTGTGTATTTATATTCATCATACGTTTCTTATGTATCATATTGCACAGTATTAAAAGTTACTGAATGCAATGTAGAATTTTAAAAAACAATTTTTTTTTTGTAAGTTTAAGTATAAATTTATTAAAATAATTGTTGTGCGTCAATTTTGAAATTAGCCAAAAAGGACCAGTACAATTTTATAATAATTTTTCTTTCATCTTTATGATCAATTTTGTTTGTAATGTTCTTTTGTTTTGAGTAAATGAAAGGCAGATTGAAATTTTTAGGGAAAATTCAATAGGAAAAATAAATAATATGTATGAAATACCTTCAATATTTTGAGTCACTTATAGATAAAGTGACTTACATTTATAATAAGAAGGATATTTAGAAAAATGTCATTATTTGGGCAATTAAAATCAAACGGATCTTTTGAAAAAGAAATACTGTAACATGAAATGTCTGCTTTTTTTCGATATCATCTTGATATGACACTTTTTTTAGCATAAAACCATCTTCTGTATCCTCAAATTGTGAAATATGCAAAGAATGATGTTCACCACCTCTGGCACAACCAAGTAAACATATCCACGATAAAGTAAACTAGTTGGATTATTTGGAGAGCAAAAATTGTGATCCGATATTATTAATTTAACCTTTTGATTAGTTGAAGGATCAAATGGTTTGGCTCCGCCTATGCCTTGTTTTTTTCGTTGTTCATCTAAAACATCATTAATTTTGCATAAATTGTAGTTTCAATCTTTTTTTGACATTTCTGAGGTGTCGACTGGTTCTAGCAACAGCATTCTTAAGTGATGGTCTAGAATATAGTTGATTTTTTATTCACTTAGTTCGACTTTATTTTTATCATCTAAAGATTCTAATAAATAGTTATACCGGACTGCTTCACGTCACTCATTTAAAATTCTCGTCCATTTTACAAATTGTTTAAAGTAATTTTTGATTGTTGTGACTGTCTAATTCCTCTTAAAATGTTCAGGAATAGACCTGTTCCATTTTATTAAAGAAAGAAAAAACGCGAAAAATGCAATTAGATTGAAGACTAATTAATACCCCCGTTCCATTTGCAAAAATTTTTCTACAAGGATAACAATTAAATGTAAAGAAATAAAAATTCGTCCAAAATTTCTCCCACCAAAAATATTTCGAAATAATTGAACAAAAACGTGCTTAATAACCATGACTGAGATTTTGACACTTGATAATAAACATCTTGAATAAATATCTATGTTAAATAATTTTTTGAATAATTCTTTGGAAAGTTTTAAACCCAAAATGTCAACCTAAACAAAATAACTAAAATTGTTGGTGTTCATTGAAAAGCAATGATTTGTACTATTCAAAAATACATTGATATTATCATAAATGATCGAAAGGAAGAAGAATAATGAATATGCCAAAGAAAATTGTCAAAATTAATGGGCGACCAACGAAATATTGAGTCAATAATCAACTATTATTTTATTTATTAAATTTTAAAGTTTCATTTTTAGTAAAAATGTTTGGGACGTGAAATTTTGCACATATAACTGGTTGCAAAATGGTGTTTTTATCGAGTACGTTTTTGTCCATATAGTGTATACATAATATATGGAGTTTTATAAAGATTTATGAAATGGTTTTATAGAATTTGTATACTATATTATGTATAATAATTAGCGGATAATTACCGTGATTAAATTCTCATACCATTATTACCATTATTACGATCAATATTGCGTCAGTATCATTTAATAATTAAATTGTAATATGACTAGACTTTAACATATTAAAATTTCAATGGGCTCCTGTAAAGATGATCCAAATGATGTTAAAAACATTTTTTCTAAGAAGGAATCTATTTAAAAAAAAATAAAAAGTTTCTCGGATCAATGTCCATCAGAAGAAAAGAAGAAATAAATGGATTTCTTTCACGAGCTATTTTTGGTCCAGGTCTTCCTTTGAAAATGGAAGATTTATGTCCTGATATGTTTTATCATCTAGGAAAAAGTTGACGCAAAATGACCCATCATCTGACTTTAAATGAATTCGCAGCCACAAAAATCAATTCGCCGATAACATAACCTATATACTTTATAATTTATTTCTCATAAAATTTTGTTTTGTTATAACAACTCATCATAAAAAAATTTTGATTAAAAGATACATTTTTTATATACATCAACAACATAACATAACACTGTGAAAAAATATTCTATAGTTCTACAGTGTGAAGGAATAATTGCAATATAATGACAAGTGTTTTGAATGAACAGATATCTTATTGATAATATTAACAATGCAATTTTTAAATTCTTTCATTAGGCAAAAAAATTGATAGTGTTGCATAATCTAGGAATAAGTGCTAGGCAATACACTGGAGAATACCAAGGCGTAAGGTTCAATTCAAGTTTTCGATATTCTATAAATATGTAATTTAACTATTACACACGTTTTTGTCATTTGATGAATTAAATGCATATATATATACTGCTTCATTTTATTGTCTTGAAAATGATTATTATTTGAAGATACAGTTTAAAAATTCAGTAGTAATAATTCTTTTATTTTATTGCTCGTATATTATTATTAATCTATTTAATAAAATAATTGGATTTTTTTTTTTTTTGATCCTTTATGCAGTTGGTTTTAATGGCAATGAAGGGATAATTGGTAGTTTATCAATTGCTTCCTCAATCACAACCATCATACCCATTATCATATGAGGTGTAATATGACAATGTGCAGCCCAAACTCCAGGATTATCAGCTACAAACCTAACCAACCTCCATCCACACCCATCGCCAACTTTTAATTCATCGTTTTTTGGATAAGGATAAACTATTGTGGTATCTCTTGTCACCGGATACTCTGGAACATTTTTTATATCAAATCCATTTGGATACGTGCCATTTCCAAAGGCAATGTCCCAGAATTTATGACCGTGCAAATGCCACGGATGATATTCACACCCCCCTCCTCCTGGTGCGTTGACCACATTCTGAAACACCAAATCAATAACCTCGCCATCTCTGATCGGATAAGTATTACGATTCTTATCATATCCAGTAGTACTGTTTAGAGCATTCCAATCAACATCTCTCGATCTCGCACCGCTAATCAAATCCAATAGTACGGGTGATTTGAAATCTTTGAATACATTGTTGTTAACGCTCCATCTTACTACTGGTGATTTAAGTTGTATTGTTGTCATAATCAATGTACGATCGGATTTCTTTGGCATTGGTTCACTGTCTGTCAACATTTCAAGTTTTGGTACAATATATGGTACTGGCAACGGTGGAACACTCGCTGGTTTTGGAGAAGGTGGTAGCGGTGGCGAGGTTACATATCTTAGAGTTGCTCTTGGATCTCTCTTACTAGTTGTTACATCGCTACGTAATCTGATTTCACTCAAAATATTATAATCTCCAGGCGTTTGATCTGTAGTAATTAATACCGAGTATCTTTCTCCTGGAGATACTTGTAATGAGTCAACTGTCACTGGCTTCACATATGATCCATCAACCTCTATATTATTAATAAACAGATAAGAATAATTATGGTTAATTATAAAATTAATTTATAATTTCTATAATTTTCTCTTTGCTTACCAATAATTGTCATGTTATGATCATAAATTCCTAATATATAGAAAATAAAAAGAAATTTATATATATATATATTAACAAAACATTTATTAAAACCATTACAACTACAAAAACTCATACCACTCGTATATTATAACATACCAAAAACTATATCTTCGAGTGTAGTTGCACCAATAATCCTAATACGATAAGTTTTTTTTGGTTCAACTAGAAACACCGTTTCATCTAAAAAATTGCCATTTATCAACAGATCAGATGGTGGACCAACCCAAGTAAAATTTTGTGGATCCATTAATCCTTCTGCCAATATTTCATCGCTTTTAGCCCATAAATCTGAAAACATTATCATAAAGGGTTCCTCTTCTTCTTTTATTATTGCTGTTGTATTATTATTATTGGAGGTGGTGACGTTGGCGGTTGTAAATGGATATTCTTCAAAATCACCATAATCTTTTGGTGGAGTATCTTTCACAATAAATGCACCCTGTCCCGTTATCGTAGATATCTCCCAATGCGAATGATAACTAAAGACACGCGGATGAAATTAGTGCCGATAATTAATTATTTATAAACTAACACCCACCCACCCCACCCCATAATTAATATTCACTAATTACTTACAAGTAAGTTCCTATTTGATTTTCAATTTTGAATTCATATAAATAAGTTTCTCCGGGTAACGTAGGACACTGATTAATGAATGGAACGCCATCTGCCAATCCATTATCAATTTTATTTCCGTGCTCATCAACTGTGTCATTATAATTACGTTGTAAAATACCATGAAAATGTAAAGAGATTGCGTTAGGATCACCATCACAGCTGCCTCTTTTTCTTGTACTATTACCACCATCAAGATTATTTCTTATTCTTACTCTAATCAAGTCGCCCGAATAACAAATTATTGTTGGCAGTGGATGTTGACCATTACCATGGATTGCTAATCGATCAGGATCAATTTTTAATGGCTCGTAAGTGATGGTTAAATCATATTCTCTTGTAACTGAATAAGTCGATGGTAATTGAATCAATAATATTAATAATAATAGCATTGATGCTATTATTCTATTATTATTGTAATTGTAACGATTATCAGAAGAAAAGGTGAATAAATTTAACATTTTTATTGTACTTTTTTTTTTTATTGGAGAAAGTTTGTACAGACCTTTCTAATCTTTAACTTTTACCGCTTTATATACTTTTAATTATTCTATTCTTGTCGATCATACAAAGCAAAATAAATTTCATTTATAGAAAAGTAGCTTAATTTCGAATCAATAAAAAAATATAAAAATCTAACTAGTTTCTATATTAATTTTTTAAATTTCTTGATATCCCATTCAATTATAATGCGTTGTGTAAAAAAAAATTATGTGTTAACAGTTTAACCGCGGTTAACCGCAAATTAACAGTTAACCGGTTAATTTTAACTGGTTAACCATCAATATTTGGTATGTAAAAACAAATACAAATATCAAACCATAATATTTATCTGCAATGATAAAATAAATATTGGTCGCTAGAGTTTCCAGCTGTTCTAGAGAGTATCAATCTTTGCTTTTTTTTCTTTTGGATAAGGCTTATGACTAGAATTTATATCCGTAATGCAAATGCTTATTCGAATTATTCGAAATTATTCGCTTTATTCGAATTATTCGAGCTTATTCGCTTTATTCGAATTATTTGAAGTTATTCGTTTTATTCGAATTATTTGAAATTATTCGTTTTATTCAAATAAACATTCAATGTAATTCGAATACCCAAATTCATAACGAATAAAACAATTAATTCTTATTCGAATAGAAATCCTACCATTTTCTAATAAAAAAAAATTTTTAAATTACCATTATTATTATTATTATCACTACAAGGGAAAAATCAAATTACTACAACTATTATTATTAATTGACTAAAAAAAAAAAAAGAAAAGAAAAACGTCAATTACTTCTGCCACTACTACTAATATTATCACCACAAGGACTACGAAAGAAAAATAGAACTGCTAAAGAAAAAAAATTTTTTTTTAATTGGATTGGATAATGCATATATTATTACTATCAATTATATTATTCGAATTTGCCAGTTGAAAAATTTCACGTAATTAATTTAACCAGTCAAAGAATTTTTTTACGTAGTGCCAACTTCTACTCGAAACAAAACGACCGGATTCTACCACTGAAAAAATATTTGTGTAATCATTAAAAGCTAAACCGACTTTCGAAGAATTCTTTCTAAACAGAAAACAGGCATTCAAAGGAGTGTATGATAGAAATTCGGTGTGTGGATAAGGAGTCTGGTACTGGCATATATATAAAAACAGCCTGCTCGAATCTGCATTAATTCCATTAAGTTTATCAGATGCAAATCTTGGAAAAAATTATCATCTAGTTTTATTGATTTTCAGAACCGGTGATGTTATTTTCCGAAAAATTATAGACGATGATGATTCTGATATAATATCAACAGCTACCGCCATCAACGCATTAAGAATCTGATAGGGCTGTTCTATTGAATAATGATGCATTCATTAACTGGGATTTCATTTGTATATATTATTTTTATTTATTTTACCAATAAACGGTTTTGGTTTCTTGCATTTTTATTTCATTGTCATGGTGTTTCTTTAACATTAATGCGTCACGCGCGACCCGAAGTCTCAGTTTTTATAAATCTGATGATACATACATGTGCAAAAAGACAACTTTTTAGCAATTGGGAAATCAATCAAACGCATTTATGGGTGGAATTTTATTAACAAGGAAATATAAAATCATGTTATCCAATAAGAATTAATATGGGAATTAAAGGTTGGGCTCAACAAAAAGAATTTATTGTGAGAATGGTGTGATTTATTCAACACCAAGTGAAGTGAATTATAAATTTTTTTTGATAAATTGACAAAATGACATGTTATTCTGGGCCAAGAATTTTGGGCTTTGATGATAAAATCTTTGTTGAATGATTATGGTAGGCGTTTAGTTTTCCATTTGAAATTAATGAATGATGCAACAATTTTTTTGTAGTAGCATTTGGTGATTTAAACTAGAATCAGTTTTTTATTCGATGGAAGCAACTTCATATATACTATAGATCACATACTTACCGATAAAATATTAGGAACATGGAGAAGAATGATGAGATGTGTTGGGTGCAACTAATATAACACCTTATTCATTAACAAAATGAATCGAAAGTGTGTATTTTTATTTTATTACTTTATATATATATATATATCAGTATTTGAACTAAAAAAGGGTGTACCTTTAAAGGAAACCAAAAAAAACATGGAGAAAACAAATGACTTGAAGAATAAAATCTTACCTTGAGGGTTATTTTTGGCAGATAATGGGATTGAATGACAGCAAAGGAAATGATAAATTCAACTTCAAATTTGGTACATGAAGGTGAAATTGATGCTGAGGATGCCCTGAAACAATGGCAATAGCAAATTGGACCAAACAATATCCAGCTAGTTTAAAACAATCACCAGCACAGAGGGCAGATGAACAATATTTAGAGATGAACATTTTGAAAAAACCAATAATAATAATAAATAAATAAATAAATAATAACATACATTTATTACTCAATCTCTTGTAAGCTCATTTGAGTTAAAAATTAAATTCCTTCATTTTCATTTATGTTTCTTTACTCTGCTGCCTTAGTTCTTTCTTCAATTTAAACACGTTGTTATAAATTTTTTTTCTTGTTATTGAATTACAGTTATCATTTTACGTTTCTAATTATCTCTTTTCCAATTTTTCTGCTTTTATTTTGAAATTATGTAAAAACTTGATCCTTTTATCAATCACTGTTTTGACTTTTCTTCCTTCTATCACGTTATTGCATCTGTTCCTTCATCAAATATTTTATTATCCTTTCGGTATTCATTTCTTTTTTGTATCCTATACTAAATTTGGTCGGTATTGGTGATAATGTTTAAGAAATTTAAAAATTTTTATTAAACTTTTGATAATCATCTCTAACACATAGAAGTTTTCAAGAAACGCTTACCCTTTAAATATATATTCTGAGATTGCATAAAAAGAATAAAGTTTGTGATACAAACATAATTAATATTGTACTTTATTGTTTAGTTTGTTAAACACTACTACGGATAATAAAAGATTTTTTTTTATAATATATATTCATTTTATATATAAAAAAAGAAAAATTACTAAATGGTCGACGTATAAAATTTTTTTGCGTCAATAGTAATAGTCCGAAATTTTAGTAAAAATTTAAATTATTAAACTACATAACATAATTATCAAAACTTAGCATTTTATTTTTATTGTTTGTCATGTGGAAGCCAGTAAATGTACTAATACTAATGCTGCGCATAATTGCGGACATTTTTGTTGGTAAACCTGAATAAATTCATTAAAGAAAACCAATACCTATTTATGCTTTAAAAAAAGTTGAATGATCCTTTGTAATTTTTTAAAGTTATCTTTAAAGAGAAATTTCAATTATGTGAAGTTACATTTATGAAATCCCATCTGTTGCTTTTAATGAGCCGATTTACTATATATTATCATTCGGAAAAAAATATTGATGAAAATCTTAAGGCTGGAATATTAATATTTTTTTTGATAATAAATTTAAAAACAACAAATCGAATGACTCAGCAATTATGAGTTAAGTTTAACATAGTGTGAGTTGGTTGTTGCACGGGACGTATTTGTTTGTATACACAGCAGACATTTTATTTTATTATAAATTAACAATATATATATATATATAATTAAAAAAAAAAAAACATGTATCCATTGCCAGACACAATAATTGAACTTATTTTCATATTCACTTCCAAACCTCTTCCCCTAACTTTACTTGATAAAAAATGGTACCAAATGTCATGCAAATCAAGAATTCGAGCAAAGTGGTTAATTCAAAATTACGGAAAAGCACACGCCTTATTTCATGCAATTCGATTAGGCGAGAATTTTATCTCAATGGAGTTGGTCAATCTTCTCATCACAAAAGAAAAAGTAAATTTACCTAGATATTTTTTACAACGGTTACTTTTACAGTTTGGGAAAACAGATAATAGTCTAACTAAACTAAAAATGAATAACAATGTTGATAACAATATCAAAGACAACATTAATAATAGTAACACAGATAACATGTCCAAAGTTATGCAAAAATATTTTAGAAATCGATGGGCTTCGAGCATTCCAATAGATGTGTTCACCTTTTTGTTAAAGGAAGCCAAAGAACAATATGGTTCAGATCTCCCATTAAAAGGAAATGATATTGAAAGATTTCATTTCTTAACAGGTGGACCATTAGCTATAGATTCAGCATCAGAAAAATTAAAAGAAAATCTTGAAAAAATTGAAGATCTTATACTTAATAAAAAATTTATGCCTTTCCCTCCAAGACCAACAATTTTGTTTGAAGACACAATTGAATACCAAAAGGAAATGCAAATCCTAAATCGTAAAGAATTTCCAGCCAAAGATGGCTTTGAAAACAACAATGAATTAAGCATAATTGCCAGGGCAATATTAATTTATCCAGAAATTGTGGAACTATGGAAACAAATTGGTTGCTCTGATATATGTATAGATGTCAATGATTTGGTATTACAAGGTTCTTTGATAATTCTATATTATCCAAATTCAAAAAATGAAGATTGTATCTCTCCAACTATGGATGATTTTGTTGAACGCATACAACAATTTATCAAGATTGGATTCAAATTGACAAAATCTGCTATGGCAGATATTTTATTTTTGTATGAACAACATCTCACCAAAATTGGAAAAACACTTATAGAAGCATTCCAAATAGTAAGGGACCAACCAAAAATTGAAATTGTTGAATGCTGCATTTTGGAAGCTATCGAAATCAACAGGAATTTAAAAAATCATCAAGTTTTAGATTTTCTCAAGATGCAACTTGAAGAAAATGATTTAGAACCTGTTTATCTTAGAGCTCTAGTTTACCATTATTTTGATGATACAATTAGGAACAAATTAATTGAATTTCAAAAATTTGAATCAAGCAGATCTTCTACTCATGACAGCAACTTCAATCATTTGACCATCAATAAAAAAATTATCAAAGATGGAGAAGAAAAACCTATTAATTATTATCATAAATATGGATATTACTATAATTATGGGTATAAATATCATCCACATGACATTAAGAATTTTGGAAATATTTATCATTGGACAAAATATTATATTCAAGCGTTGATATGTGATGATGATTTTAAATTTATAAATTCAAACATTGAAAATCCAATGAACAATATAAGAGCATTGAAGTTAAGTAGCAATTTGTACAAGTGGATACTAAAAAACTTCAAACCTGATTCAATTGTTACAAGATTATGTTTCAATGATGTAATTATATCCAAGACTTGGATTGATAGAGAATTGTTGCTTTATCCTGAAAGACAAACACCAGGAAAAATAACCAGTTGTGCATTTGAACTGATCATATTTGTTTACAATGAATTTTGTAAGAATAATGTTCCATTTGAATTGGCACATTTGAACTTATTAAAGAAATCAAATAACTTTGCAACTTTGGAACCATTCTTTGAAGGTTTCTTGCCACAAATTTTTAATATTAACCCAACATTTGATTATCACAATGTCAATAATAATACCAAAAGAGCATTAAAAAAACAATTAAAATTACAAAACCAACCTCTTTTTCAATATCTTGATAATCATGAAAAGAAAATTGAAGTTGAAGAAAGGACAAAACACTGGTTTACTGAATTGAAAAAGATTCATGATGAAATGAACACCACCACACATAATAATAATAATAATCAGTTTACTATGAATTTCCAAATTTGTATGAAAAAGTTTTGGGATAGAATTGTGTTGGAAACTGATTACATTAACCAATTTCAGTCTAAAAAAAGAAAATATCAAGAATAATTATTGCTTTAAAAAGATGTGGATTGCATTGTGGAAAACAATGAAGTTACATAAATTATTTAATTATAGTTTTATTATATATCGTGTTTTGTTTTACAAAAATTTACTAGAATTTTATTTATTTATTTTTTTTTTTTTATTTTTTTTTTTTTTAAATGCTCTTGTTAAACAAAAATAAATATCATAAAAAAATTTTAAATTTGTGATGTATAAGGCATCATCACAAAGTTGTAACTTATTATCATTTATTCATAATATAATATTTATTTATTGTACTGTGCGGGATGTGCAATGTTATCTAAATTTGCAAATTTGTTAGAACGCACATTCCTCACTGTCCACATTTCAAAAAAAATGAGACTTTTAAAATTCTAAATGTAATCCCACCCCAATTAACTTAAAGCCAGCCTGCCACCCTTTGGTTAAAATGATATTTAAATAAACCCATCTAAATAATCATAAAAAAAAATAGAATAATTTCTATTTTTATCCCTTCAAATTTGAAAAATCATTCTTACTATGAAACAAAGAGGAAACAATTGGCCAATTTGCAATTTTTAATTTTAGTTTACGACGGAGCTAATAATATTTAAAAGACACTGAATACATATAAAATTCCCGAATTAATTAAAATAACGAATCTAATTAATAAGTCCATCACGTGTTTGTACTTTTTCCCCTTCATTTATTTTCATCCTTGTCATTCATCAATTTCTCTTTTAATGAAGCTAATATTTATTGCATTTCATAATTCGTTAAATTTGTTAAATTTAACCAACGTTTTCAAACTTTTTTATGTAAGCTCTCGACTCATTATTTGGGATCAATGTTTACATATGAGCAGTTGAAAGCGGAAATTAAATCATTCTAAAACTTGTTTAAAGTATATTACAAAAAATTTTTCTGGCTCCTTCATTTATGATTATTGAAATCTCTAAAAATATTGTTGAAGAACGCTAATAACAATATTGGAAATTATGAATCAATAATGTAATGAACACACTGTTTAGAATATTTACTTTGTATGATATATAATATCCATCCGATTATCAATTATGTTGCGCATCATCACAAATTTATTTTATTTATTATAAAGAATTAATTAACAACAGAAACAATAATCCTATTAATTGTGACGTGTAATCAAAAAATTTGATCATAAGAATAACTACAGAAAATTTTGCATAAAACGCTGACGCATAAATATCAAATTAAATAAAGAAAATAAATTTTGAAATTATATTGCTTGCCAAACGTTCCAAAATAAATGATTCTTTCTCCTCCTCTTCAGACGAACAACGATAACGAAGCTACAAAATGCACAAAACATAGTAAAAGTAATCATTGGTATAACAACATGAAAATAAAATCACGTGTTTTTTCTTCATTCATTACATTTATTATTTATGTACAAAAATTTGATTGTGTAAATAATCCTACAATGCCATGATCCTGTTGTGTGTGAAAAAGTATACATATGTAAATCCGATAAGTCGGTCATGTGGGGTGAGCTAATATGACTGACTTATCGAATTAAATTACTTAAATATTAAGAAAATGGGGTGAAAATTTTGGCCGACTTATCGAGTTTACATATGTAGTCGATGTGAATTTGTAATTCACAATTAAAAGGAATTTCGCATCCAAATACCTCCTCCATATTTGATTAGCAATACTGTAGATCACTCAAAAAAGTATCTTGGCTTTAAAATTATTGAAGTTCCCTATATAGAAAAAATTTGTTACGAAAGGATAATACATAAAATATCAGTTTAAAAGATCGCAAATATTTCTTATCTTTAACTTTTATAATAAAAGAAAATCAAATTAAAGCAATAAATCATACAGAGTTGTTCTAACTTTTTATTTTATCAGATCAGGAGTTGACCGGTTTAACCAAATTTGGTAACTATCAGCAGATTTTTCAAATAATTACCAAATTTGGTTAGAACGACAATTCCACGCATTGAATTTTAATAATGTACTCGCGTGTAGCTTAACATTTTTTTTTAAAAAAACTTTTCTTTAAATTATTTAAAAGTAAATAGATATGGCACCTGTTGATATATTTGGATCAATAGCGAAGATTATCACTTACAGAAGAAACCAATTAGTCTTGTGAATCTTCTGTAATTATTTGAAATTTTGTAACTTGCCCACGTACCTAGCCAAAAAATAAAATGAATGATGGTTGGTTGACCAGAGGTTTTGGAACCACATATATATATATATTACCACAATACTACTTATCATGGTATAATTGGCATTATATTCAATTGAAAAAAAATAAAATAAAATTTATAACTTTTAAAAAAATAATTTTATTTAATAATAATATTAATAATTTGTAATTTATAAAAATTTAGGATTGAATATGTTCAAAGTGTCTACCCTTGGGGCAACCATTTGAAGTTACTAAAACACATTTGGCAGCTAACCGTAACGATGGTATTCTTACTTACTGCCTTGAAGAAAACATATAAAAGAAGTGGGGTTTTATCAAGTGTTGATACCTTGAGCATGGATTGAAGCTAGCACAAAGGTAATTGATTGATTGATCAATTGATTCGTTAGTTATTTGGTTGGTTGTTCAAATGATTCATTCATTAATTCATTAATTTATTTATTATTTAATTATCAAAGGGTGCAACACTTATAACACCCAAAATACCACCCTTTACTAAAAATTAAACAAAGTTTATGTTACTATGATATTTAAAATATTGTTCGTTGGTCATGAAATGTATATATATGCATATATATTAAAATACCAAAAATGAGACCCACCAGCTACTCGTGTACTGTATTCAATTTCACTTTCAGTAAATATAATGGCCGGAGGTTTAGCGCAAGCATACACCACAATGGGTTTATGAAAACAGTTGAGGTTACTCATCATAAAGCACCTGCTAGTCAAGAAACCTCAACATTAAAAGTTGCAGCTGATATTTGGAGAAAAGAGGTAATTCGTGGTATAAATAAAGGTGTTAATGCTGTAGCTCTAAGACAATGTACAGATTGGGCTAGTAGATTTAGATTAACAAGGTTAAGTGAAACTGCTATCTGGAGAATACGAAATGGTGATGTGGTTGGTTATTCTAGACCATTGTCACTCATTCAAAAAATTTTAGCAAGTGCCCTTGGTGGTGGCTTGTCTTGTTGGAATCAAGTAATTATATATATTTTAATTTTAAAAAAAATTTCTCTTTCTCACATTTCCTCTTTCTTCTTCTCAAAGTCAATTGAAGTTACTCGTGTGAAAATGAAATCTCAAGTACAAACACTCAAAAATAATGGATTGAAATGGGTTTATCTTGGTGTAACTCCTAAAAGTTGGACTTGACAAGCAATCTGTCAAGGTAAATTTTAGAATGCTTTATCACTATTATAATTTTTTTTCTTTTTGTTTATTATTTAGGGTATAATTGCCCAAAGACAATTAATCAAAACATTTAGAATATAATTTATACGTTGTTTTTTAATTAATTTATTTGTTTTGCTGAAATCTGTAAATAAAATAAAATTTTGGTGTACAAATCAGGACGCGTTAGTTTAGGATGTGTTTATTTTCAAAAATGATATAAAAACAAAAAACAAATAAAAATTTTTTCATTTTAACTTGTTATTTATTTCTTTAATAATATTAATAATAATAAACAATAAATAATATTTAATATTTAATAATGTCTAATAATAAAGAGGAAGAGCAAGAACTTCAAGAAGAAGAAGTAGTTGAAGAATATAATTGCGGCTATACAGCCATTGAAAAATTAGAGGTAAAAGGCTAAAAAGGATTTACTTACTATCTGTTCTTAAAGAACCAAGTAATAATTTAAATATATGTGAAACCAAAAAGCAATTAGGAATAAATACTACTGATATCAAAAAACTCAAAGATCACGGTTTCCACACACTTGAGTCAGTTGCATACACACCTAGAAAAGCATTATTAAATATTAAAGGAATTTCTGAAGCAAAAGTTGAAAAAATACTAACTGAAGGTATTAATTTATTATTTAATGATTCACAAATTTCATGTAACTCAATATATATGCATTTTATATTTATAAAATATGATTGGATAGTTGGTAAAATAATAATTTTAGGATTTCAACCAGCAACAGAAATCCAAAGAAAAAGACATGAACTTGTTTATATCACAACAGGATCCGATCAACTTAATAATATTTTAGGAGGTAATGAAATATTTTCAATGGCCTATAATCACCAAATTCAAATATATATACAGTTAAATTCGTAATTCTTTAATTTTAAATTAGGTGGAATTGAAACGGGCTCAATAACTGAATTATTTGGTGAATTCCGTACTGGAAAAAGTCAATTATGTCATACGCTTGCTATCTCGTGTCAGGTAAACGATTTATCCATGTATACGTATACATTTATTATTTAATTGATATTTAATTGATGTTATGTGGTATCTTTAGCTTCCTGCAAGTATGGGTGGCGCTGAAGGAAAATGTATTTACATTGATACGGAAAATACCTTTAGACCTGAAAGATTAATCACTATTGCAGAAAGATTTGGGCTTAATGGAGAAGAAGCATTAGACAATGTGGCAGTAGCAAGAGCTTATAACACGGATCATCAATTTGATCTTTTAATTAATGCTGCTGGAATGATGTCAGAAACAAGGTTCAATTAATTAATTTTAATATCAATAACATCAATTCTTAAGTTCATATAATTTATTCTAATAAATCGATTGATTGGTTTTTTTCTTAACAATAGATTTGCTGTTCTAATCGTTGATAGCGTAACAGCATTGTATAGAACTGATTATGCTGGAAGGGGCGAATTGGCTGCACGTCAAATGCATTTAGCAAAATTCTTACGATCTCTTCAACGTTTGGCTGATGAAGTACATACACACACATATATATATGCGTTTGTGATTATTATAGAATTAATTAATTAGTTAATTAATTAATTATCCATTATTTGTATAGTTTGGCGTGGCTGTTGTTGTGACAAATCAAGTTGTTGCTACTGTTGATGGTAATATGGCTATGTTTGGTGGTGAAACTAAGAAACCAGTAGGAGGAAATATCATGGCACATACTTCAACTACAAGGTAATTATTGTTATATATCAATAAATAAATATATATATTGCGACTTTTGTTGAACTTTTTTTTTCTGTAGACTTTATTTTCGTAAAGCTTCTAAAGAAAATCGTATATGTAAAATATATGATTCACCATGTCTACCGGAAGCTGAAGCAACATTTGCTATTGGCAAAGGTGGAATTGAGGATGCTAAAGATTAAGATAAATTCTCTTTTAAAAACAATCTTACGGATTTGTATTATCTTTAAATTTTAAATAATTTTAGGGACTTCCTAAATTTTTTTTAAAAAAAACATGTGATATTTTAAATTGAACTTGACGTATTCCCAAATTCATAACAATGTACAGTGTGTTGCGAACAAAATTGCGCATGAATTGTAAAATTGATTTTGATAATAATAATAAAATTGCGTTTTTTACATGATTTATTGTATTTGCATATGTTTGTTTGTTTGCTTATCAGTAATCATATTTACAAGGGAAAACTATCCTTCTTTATTTTTCTATGTAGACCTTGCAAACATTGTCAGCGCAGAACTTGAAACACAATGTCAAACGATTGATTTTACATTATTGGTTGAATGGAATTTATGATACCAAAAAAATACGTCAAAAAACCTTCGTACTATTCAATGTAACTTCAAAAAACTCTGAGAAACAGGTACTATTAAACAAATGGTCGGCCGTCTAAGATTACACAAACAGTGTCACGTTCAATCGAGCAATTAAAATTCAAGAGAATATATCCATCTCACATACAAATATTTGGCGACACATGACAAAAAAAAGATATAATAGTGCTATACCACTTGCCACCTTACTCACCAAGAATCATATTGATGCTCGAAAAGTATGCTCATTTTAATGAAAACTGGGATCGTACCAACTTTGCAGATGAAGCAGTCTTTGACAAAAGGTAATGGCTTGGGATGGAATTTCATTGAATGGCAAAACCCCATTGTTTTGTTTTACGGAAATAATGAATGAATGGTCTAGTTTATGTAAATACTTTGCGGACCCAGCTTCTTCCTGCTGCTCAACAGTTATATGGTAATAACTGACATTTGCAACAAGGTAACGATCCTAAACACAATCCACGTGTTGTAAAGGACTTTTTATCCCAAAACAATGTCCATGTCATAGACTGGCCACTTAACAGTCCTGATCTGAACCCCATTGAGATCATGTGGTAGATCATTAAAAGAAACGTAGAAAGAATAATTCTTAAAGATACTATCGAGGTAAAGCAATTTATGATTGAAGAATTCAGTACACAATTTAATTAAATCTGAAAAATCAATCGTTGTTAAAATGCAGATTTTTTTATACTTGATAAAGTAATTGATGGGCTTTTAAATGTGTCTACTTGTTCATGTTGTGTAATTGTTTAAGGTACAATTTTTTTCGCAGCATCTTGTATATATATATACGTGGGGCGTTTGAAAAGTTTTGTCACTGGTCCTGTAACTTTATAATTTTGAGTATAATTAATTTAAATTTTTT